ATAGTCTTACTTGTTAGACTGTGTAGGCACGGTCCGGGGCATATCCGTGCATAACCAGAGGTTTCTTCTTAAGGTCAGATGTGCCTTCTATATTCTTCACAAGGTCCGAGAACTTTGATGTTTTGACCCGTGTTGGAATATCCAACCCATTTTCCAGAGAGTTGAATGAGCCAGAAAGTTATTCATTCATAACAAGGTTAAACAAAGCAGGGCTGATATCATAGGAATCGACACTAGTGGTTGGTTTGATAAGTTTGCTCATGAAATCATTGTTGTTGGTGGTAGATAAATCACACAACTAAATGCTTGCATTAATGATACCCACTACAACTACTAAACAAAAAGTAACTAGGTTCCAAAATTATAAAACTTTTTGGAGTTTTTGATAGCTTTTATAAAAATCCTACAACTAAGCAAGATATAAAACAAGGAATACAACAAAAGTGTTACAGAACCTACTGCAAAAAAAAACAATTACCTCTTTTGAAAGCTTGCACTGAAGGAAATTTGTTAAGGAGTACAAAAATATTCCATGGCACTTATCTCCGTAGGAGCAGTGCCAGAATGCTTGATCTTGTTGACTTGTGTATCAAGTGCAGTGTTGGACTTACAAGTGCAACTGTTTGGAGTATGTAGTGAGGTTTCTTCGGTAAGAATCCAAGGTATCAATATGTTGGGGCAAGTTAACCCTGTAGTAGTCGTAATGTTTGTAACGCAAATGAAACTTCATTTGTGTCCCCAACAGTTCTAACAAGGTTGGCAACCTTGCTAGTCTTACTAGTTGCACAAGGCAATTAAGAGATACTCCCTCCGTTTTTTTTACTCCGCATATAAAATTTGGTCAAAGTCAAACTACACAAAGTTTGACCAAATTTATATAAAAAAACATGAGCATCTACAATACTAAAACTATATAGTATGAAAATACATTTCATGGTGCATCTGATAATATTGATTTCATATTGTGAATGTTTATATTTTTTAATATAAAATGAGTCAAACTCTACAAAGCTTGACTTTGACAAAAACTTAAATGCGGACTAAAAAGAAACGGAGGGAGTACACTAGTAGATACTCCCTTTGTTCCTTTATATAAGATGTATTTGTTTTTTAATAAATTACAGAATGTAAGGTGCATTTCTTCTAATTTCTCATAATTTCCTTGTTAGCCCTCCATGAAAAAGGAAAGTATCTCTTTCATGATTGTCTGTATCTCTCTTCTAGCAAAAAGAAGGAAACTATCTCTCTATCGATTGCATGTATCTCAAAATGAAAGAAAACTGAAAATGAAAGTGCATGCAAAATTTATTGGAAGGTGATTCTATGCTAAAAACTGGACCAGGGTCCATAGTTTTACCAAGTGTAACTTTCCAATACATAAAAGGCGGTAAGTAATGTGAAAAAGTGCACAAATTTCGTTCAGCCAAATTTGAGGGTCAACTCACGATACTTGACACCTTGCTTGAAGGCGCAAATGGCTTGGCGTTCGTTATGTTCTCGTCTGTTTTATCCAGCGTGGCCCACCTCTGGATGTACTCTCTCAAAGTTTCGTTGCTCTTCTGTACACAGTGCTGCAACTCGGCCAATTCACCCGATGACTTGTAGGTCCCTTCAAAGGTATTGACAAACACTCGGGAGAGATCATCCTAGCTGAAACTACTGTTGGGGGAAACTGATTGAGCCAGGCCCTAGCTGATCCTTCTAACATCAGGGGAAGGTGCTTCATCGCCACGACATCATTGCCGCCTCCAATCTAGAGAACCACTTGCAAATCTTCTAGCCGTCTCTGGCTTGGACTTACTGATGAATTCACTAATCTAGTCGTCAGCCGGTAGTTAGCAGGAATCACTGTCGAGCGAATGTATATGTTGAAACATATTTCGCCGAAGGAGGTGGATCCCCTAGGGTAATCCTTGTCAAAGATCTCTCTGTATGCTCTGCCCCAGTCGACTAGGTTTTGGGCAAGAATGGATCTTGCGTTGAACTATGGGTCATGGTAACCTATGCCCTCTTGATCTCGCGGACGATAACCACCCGGCTATCGTGGAGGACCGGGCCTCCAATAGTCATCGTATCAGCGTCTGTCATTGTACTACCAGTGCACGTACAAATCCTCCCACGGAGGGGTCTCCTGTACACGGTGACGATCATCACATTGCTGAGGGGGTGTGATCTGCTCATGGTTCTGATTACCATACCGCTCATGCCGCCGAGGGTGAGCTATATATCTTGGGGGTGGTGACTCTTGGCGACTCCTGGGCACAATCGGGTTGTGAGCCGACTAAGTCGTATCCACACACACTGACTTGTTGTGCATATGATTTTTTGACTGAGACACGGCAGAGTTCTATGACATGGTTGTCTTCAACAGTACTTGAATTTATCTAAGTCCTTCAGCTACTGAACTAGAAGGTTGAATGGAATTTGTGATTCTTGTTACTGCTGCGAAGTTTTGCACGGAGTGTGCATCACGCGGTAACTTCGATCATCGTTGTTCAGAAACAACTGTCTTCTGCTCCAACAAGAACTAGGTTGCTGCCGGAGCCGATCCTCGAGAGCTTTCTCCCGCTGCTCAAGGCGTGTGCGCTCGACCAAGGTGGCCAAATGTGTCGACTCCAAGGCGAGAGCCTCGGGGATCATTTCTGTGATAGGCGTGTGTAGAACTTGGTCGGCCCTGCGGTTGAGTTCATCAATTTCCTCCTGAGTGTGAGACGGAGGCATCGATTCATTGCCATGGGGGCCGTATCCAAGGCCGCCATCAGCGTGCTCCTGAGACTAATGGCTAAGGCCGTCCTGGTTATTCGAAAACCAGGTGGGCAGTTATCTAGACCAGCCATCAAAACTTCTGCGGAGGACTCGATGCTCTCGCAGTTGACTTCATCTTTCGGCCCCTCATGGAGAGAGGCAAATAAGTCATGGAAAGATTCATCAGGTTTGAGAGAAGCTATCTGCTCGGCCGTGGACTGAAGAGCCACTGCATGCTTGATCCATTGCTGGAGTCGTGAGCGGCCGGAGCGCTTGCAACGACGCTGAGAGGGGAGGTGGAGATTCGTCTGGTACGGGACCAACGACTATCGCAGTAGAACTCCGTAAGTGCTTGCACGGAAGTGCGCTGCCCCACGGATGGGCAGCGACTCTGCATCCAGCGGGGCTTCTCGAAGCCACGCCGAATCATCGGCAATGAAACAAAGGGCGCCGAAATGGATCTCATTGCCAAGCACCATCTCACCGCCGGAAACCATGATGAGTGAAAAGTTTCAACTGCGCCATAAATCACTAGACACGTAGCCCAACAGTGGGCACCAGCTGTCGTGGGAACGATCCTGACAGTATGAGAGGGGGAGATGAAGGAGCGTGGTCTAGTTACAGCGTAGATGTGACACAAGGGTTTATGAGTTCAGACCTCTCATGATGGAGGTAAAGACCCTACGTTTCGAGCTATGGAGCTGTTTGTTTTTCTTCCATATGGGAGATTACAGAGAATGTGAACCCCCTCCAATTGCTATGGGGCGGCCTATATAGAGTATGCCGCCCCTTTGCCTTGATATGTTATTGGGGTTTTTGATGAGTCAAGTTTAATACAAGTGTTACTATTGCTAACTGAAGCATTGGTGGCTAGTAAATCTCGTGGACGTGTGCCCGTGGATGCTTCAGATGCTGGCTCTTCGTCTCCCTTGCCCGAGTGTTGGTGGGGTAGCCAAGTGGATGGTATGGTAGCCGAATGAATCGTCAGCATCAAAGTAGATAGATAACTTTCGAGTGAATGGTTGATATATGAGTGAATAATGTCGTGAAGATCATTTGAATATGCTTGTGGCCCAGAGGCTTTAATGCTTGTAGATGTGGGGCCCTAGGTGTCATCCAAGATGCATGTCTTGTGACCCTACCCGTATTAGGTAACCCCAACAACGGGAATAATTAGGCTTGAAATATGGGAGGCATTCTTGGGTATATATAGATCCAGAGGCATCGACTCGAGAGGCGATGGAACGGGGGTCTAGGTGCCCATGCACCCATGGGGGTGGCCGCGTGGCCTGGCCACGTGGGGAACTGGTGGCCCCCTTCCCTATGATGTTAGTGGCACAATGGTTCTTCCAATATAAAATATAATTTCCATATTTTTCTTTGATTTTTTACACCCCAAAAAATTCATTTTTCTACAAAGCCAAAAATATCAACTGTCAGTGGGCACTGGATTAATGTGTTAGTCTAGAAAAATGATGAAAAAATGGTGCCAAAGTTATGCAATATAATATAAATATAGCATGAATACTTTAAAAATTATAAATACGTTTGAGGCGTATCAGCCATGCACACATGGCCAAAAAATATTTAGTTGAGATGAAATTTGATTCGTATATGTTTCGAGCTTACATATCTAATAATCTACCAAATCCCGTGCCATTTGGTTCAGCAGTATGAGAGCAGCTCATAGGTTATCGAAGGTAACAGAATCTGCATTAACTTTGTTTTGTGGTTTTCTTGCCACTTGTGGTTGCTGCTAGTTGGTAAGGTGCTGAGTGTATTGTAAATTCTAGAGTTTCTAGAGAAGACTGTGTACCATGATTCTCATAATGAAACTTGTGTGGGACGGTTCGTCCGTGCCCGTGTTCTTATTCCCGTTTTCTGGAGGTTCTTGCACATGTACAAATATTGTACCATTTGTGCTTATTGTTCTCTTATCCGGTTGCTCTATGTGAGAGGGTTACCTCATCATATTGTATCTTTCCGCCGTGTAACTTATGGTTGTTGTTTTATTTATAAAGCGGAGCGAATGCCTGTTTCGAGATACTTGGTAGCTGAAACTATCTCAAAGTCCACTCTAAACTAAGGGTGCCAATTAGTATAATGTTTTGTTGCTGTTTAGCCCCAATACACCAAAGCACTCGACCTCGCCCCGTAACCGGTGAAAACAAAACACTTCGGCTTACAATCTAATGTGGTGTTCTAACTGTGGTTAGATCATAATTATGTCAAGCCTAATGCTCCAGATTCAACATCTACATAAAGTCCACCTCAAACATATGCATGTTGTTGTTGGCGTTGTCGTTGTTCTGGTTGGAGACCTCGCCGTTTGCCGTCGCCGCCGATGGCATCGTGCTGGAGCTCACCGAGGAACACGACAGGATGTTGCTGTTATTGATGTTGTTGTGCAGGAGGGAGGTGATGAAATGCTGCTGCTCCTGATGGTTGTGGAGCTGCTGCTGGCGGTCGTCCCTCTCCGGCGACGAGCCCAGGGTGAGCGTCGTCGGCCTTGTCGCTGCTACCGCCCTGGCCTGGCCCTGCTGGAGGAAGCTGATCGCGCTGGTGTTGGAGGAGATGGTCGACTTCGTCGTGCTCAAAGCTGATCAATGGATCGTACGTGCGTACAAATTAGCTCCGATAAATGATGATCAATCGCAGCAGGCAGGATGCAATTAGATAAGGCCAAGGTGTCGGCTTACTGTTGTTGTCGGCGGTGTAGGAACCGGAGATGGCGCCGGCGTTGGGTTTCTTGGAAGGCGGCGCGGAGTCTTTCGACGACGTCGCCGTGGTGCCGGCCGCAGGCTTCCTCCGGCGACGGTTGTGCTCTGCGAGCCGCCTCCGGCAGCTCCTCTTGGCCTCGTCGAACTCCGTGAGCACGTGGAACCTAAGGCCAATCCAATTACAAGAACAATTTAGGCTAAACTAAGCTAGCTAACCTTGAGCACCAAAATCTTTTAACTCGTACGTACTACTCAACAAAATTAAAATTCTAGCTAGCTCAACAAGTGATGCATGCATGTGAACCCATATGCAAAAGTCTAGTCGCCACTGGCACCGCCACACAACATTGGTCAATGCGAGAAAGGCAGAGATATGCCCAGTGCAAAAGCCTGCCACAGGATCAGCCGCTCGTCGCAGCACGCAGCGGTCTGGAGTGTGCAGCTAGCCCAAAGAACGCTGCCTTTTGGATCTCTTTTTCTTTTCGTGATCCTGTCTCCATCGATCCACAGGACGGGAAAACGGCCATGGAAAAGCTCATGTTTGTGCTACATGGACTAGTGTTTTGTGTTGTCTTTTTAGTTTGACATGACTGGTCGTCTCTGAGACTGAGACCTGCTTTTGCACCATGGCCGCCGCAACGGACAAGTGTCGTGAACCAAAAACAGAGCGAAGACTGGAAAGGCAAACAGTTCACACCAGCCAAGCTGCAACCTAGCTAAGCTATACGGAGTATACTTGTGCAAGAACATGAGTAGAGCGAGAGAGAGTTGATGGAGAGTGGGGGTGGGGTGTGGGGTCTGACCTGCTGCATTGCTGGCAGAAGCGCTGCTGCTTGCCGGCGGCGGCGACGAGGGCGGCCTTGGCGTGGTACTCGCACACCTTGTGGCGCCGGTGGTAGTGCTTGGCGCCGGAGAGGTCGACCTTGCAGTCCTCCACCTGGCACCGAGGCGCCTGGTGGTGGGCGCGGCCGAATCCCAGCCCGAACACGCCGCCGAGACGGGACCGCATCAGGATCCGGTCCACCGCCATCATGTCGCCGGGGGAGAAGTAGGTCCGCCGGCCGAGGTTCAGCCCGATTCTCCCCGCGTCCCCGGCGCCTCCCTCGCGCTTCACCATCCCCATCGCCGGGTACACGTCGCCGTGGCCATGCATCCCGTGGGGCATAGGCGGCATCTGCAGCTGCATCCCGGGCATGGGTGGCGGAGCCATGGGGACCAGCCCGCCGGCGCCGTCGCCGCTGGGCGGCAGCGCCAGCATCTGGTGGTTCGGCGCGTCCTGGAACTGGCCGAAGGTGGCCGCGTAGTCGAAGTTGTCGTACATCATCGCGCCCTGGTGGCGCTGGCCTCCTCCGCCGGCGTGGTCGAAGCCGACGTAGGGCGGCGGCTGCATTGCCGCGAACGGGAAGTCGTCGCTCGCCGCCGGGTTCATCCTGCCGCCGCTCATCATGGCCCGAGTGAGTGGTCGGTCGGCGCTCAAGAAGAGAAAGCCGGGGCGAGCTAGCTAGGAGGCGTGTGGTTGGCTAAGCTCAGCTCACTCGCTAGCTGTATGAATCAGTGTGGTTGTGCTGTGCTGTGTGAGGTGGTGGACGGCGCAGAGGTGGTTAAAAAGGCAACCAAGATTGAGAAGAGATTGAGAGGGTAGTGTACGTGTAGAAAGAGTGGAGGAGGGAGGAGAGTGATGAGTGTGCGTCTCCGTTGGCAATAACTCTTGGCGCGTGGCTTGTCCGGGAGTGTGTATGTGTCAGCTGCCTCACTGGACGAAGATGGCCGGGCCATCTCCTTGCTGTTTTGGTGCAACAAGTCGCCGTGGTTGTTTTGGAGAGAGAAGCGTATACCCCCGAAGAGAAGACATGCATGGACACTTGCGTGGGCTACTTTACTTATCTCGCACTGTTTTTCTTGTGCATGCAAAATCTAAATATGATTCTGGCTCGAACATGTACTCACGTGATCTCTTGAGCCCCATGTGTCCAACTTTCTGTGTTCTCAGGCCAACTCCAACTTGTGTCATCAAATCAACCTCAACTGTCTGGATGAAACAACTCGAAAGCTTTTAGCCATCTAACGACGGCTACAAACATTGTCCGGGCCAGTCTGAACGTCTGCCGCAACGGACTCCGACGCACCAAACTCACTCAAAACTCCTCTCCCGTGTGTGTTCGCTCTGGAAAACTTCGTCACATTCATTCTGGCTGACATGCCATCCACCAATACGTGTTTCACGCCAGTGCAGCGACCGAGAAGCCTACTCCGTAGAATTGAAGCTTCGACAACCCTTCCCCGGCTATTAAAGCCAGACGAGCGCGGAAGCAAACCCTATCCTCCTCCTCTCCTGTCCCACCTCCTTCGCACACCAGCACACTTCCAGGACCGGTTGCCGTGATGGGCAAGAAGCCCTACGCCTCCAACAAGTGGGTCAGAGCCTGGTTTCGGATCCGGGGAGCGGGGAGGGGTGAGGAGCTCTAGGCCCGCCTCCTCCACAACTCCGTCTAATGTCAAGTTGGAGCCGATCTCCTCAGGCGAGGAGGAGAAGAAGCCGCCCCCTTTCTGGCGGAGGCAGCTGCAAACCGCAAGGAGTTTGTGAGGTATATGAAAACCAGCCTGCAACGCGCTACTAGGGAAAAGCCTAGCAGCAGTGCGGGTTTTAGGCCTATCAGTAGCGCGGGAGGAAGCGCTACTGATAAGGCGCTACAGCTAAACCTTAGCAATAGCGCGCCTAGATCCACGCTACTGCTAAATTGACTTAGTAGTAGCGGTTCTTCAGGACCGCGCTACTGGTAATTAGTAGTAGCGCTTCTTCTTTCCCGCGCTACTACTATTATTTAGTATTTTATTTCTTTTTTAATTTCATGTTGTATTCATACACCTTTACACAAGTTTTCATACAACATGAATTTAGAGATTGTTTTACATCATAATGAGTTATTACATCACGGGGTGAAAGAACCGTGGACTAGTTTCAAGTGGATGTCCATCCACTTGAAACTAATCCGCGGTTCTTTCACCCAATGATATAATAATATCATCATCATCATCATATCATTAACAACTTATCATCATAATACATCATTGTCATATAACACCTCCTCAAGATCATCGTTTTCATCAATGACATCACATAGCAAATTGGTCACTAGTCGTAATCACAAGTACTCCTCATTATCAACTCTAACACATTACCACATAATAAACATATTATACCTCATAGGACCTACTACATTCGATTAAGACCTACTACATTTCCTAAGGTAAAATAGCAAAAAACAAGATAACCCCTGACTCTCCATTATGGAGAATGGAGATTAGCCTGTCTCCAATTCTTGCCTTTCGCTGAATGTTACTTCCAAGAACCTCCTTGCGAATGTCCATACATTTCTTACATTCTTTGATGATCATGTGTTCACCGGTTTTAGAAATTCGATATGCACAGGTGAGCTCCCTAGATTTACCTGGCAGTATGTTCAGAACTGAGAGGCGACCATTCAGAGACATCAGATGAGGCACACAATCCATCGGGAGTTTCTGTTGAAAAACATAATAATAACTTTGTAGTTAGCAATGATGTACTAGTTTTAGAAGTATGCAAAAGATGCACGGATGTCGTAATAGTAAAAAATCTTACCAGGTTATCTCCAGAGAAGTTACCGTGGTTCAACACATGCACTAGTGGCACGTATTCACCATAATTTGGAGGAGTTTGATAATAGTTATTGTAATTCTCAAGAAGAGTACAAAATACGATCAGATGATTTTCTCCTTATACGTTAATTCGGTGCCATCGGTGTAGTGAGTTTTATCTACCATCTTACGCACAGTCTTGAAGAATCAAAATAAGCTGTCAATGGAAATAAGCTATCAACTATTTTGAAATAAACAATATAAATTAGTTAATAAGTATGTTTGAAAAACTCACATAGCGGTACAATCGGAAGCGTATCAACAAGGACCCAAATGTCCATATTGTCTTGCTCGATGTCAGGATCACCAAGATCCATGGTGACAATCATACCCTCATAAAAACCATACATTTTGCAAAGTGCTTCCCAATTTTGGCAACCAAAATGGGTTACGCTCTGAGCATTGCACAGATTTACTTTAAAATCCATATCATGATGGGTCCTTAGGTGTATTTTCTTTGTTTCAAAATTTTCATGGTCTTCAAAATCCATCCTCTCCAAGACATAGCGTCTTGCATGGCATGGGATAAGCTAGTCGAATTGTGAAATATGAAAATTAGACGTTGAAATAGTTGAAGTCATGCTTAATTACGAAAAAAACACTTGTCGTTCTTGCGTACCGTTTCAACATCGAAGGTCTCCTCGAGCTTAATGCTGAAGCGCCGATCTTCTTCCAGCTCAACGAACCTGTCGCACATACCTCGATCGTCGTGGCACCAGCTGCACTACCCCGGGAGACTGTCGTCGTCCGAGTACGACATTTCCTACATTCATAATTCAAAGATTAAACGTGTACATATTCTAGCACAAGTCATGCCAGAATTCACGAAAAAATCCGGCATGACCTTTGCTAAAAAAGGACATATCGAGCGCCTGAAATTTGCCGGAACGGAAATTAATCAACACTTCGGCAAAACATAGGCCACTCGGAGATGTAAACTGAACATGAACGAACACTTGGGCAACCACATATCCTATTTGAGCAACAACACAAGATATACAAGGATATTTGGCTGGTCTCACCTCGATGTCGGAGGGGCTCGGTGACTGGGACGATGGCGGGGATGTCGGAGGGGGTCGGTGACTGGGACGACGGTGGGGATGTCGGAGGGGGTCGGTGACGGGGACGACGGTGGTCACCTGAAACCGTATAAGTTATCACTAATACATCCCGAATAATTGCTTAAACTAAAAAATAACAACAAATATGACATGTTCAACTAGTTTTATTAATTCAACTAGTACTTACTAAATATAAACTTACTATAAATAGAAAAAAACTAGTTCTTTCTAAAAATAAAATAGTTCAACTAGTTATATTAATTATCTTACTAAAAATACATTAGTTCTATTAATTCAACTAGTTCAACTAGTTTATTAATTTACTTAGTAAACTAGTTCAACTACAACTAAATTAGTTCAACTACAACTACTATTAATCATACTGCCCTAGTTAACTAGTACCATCACTACTAGTAATTAACATCTACTACTCCCTCCATTTTCTTATACAAGGCCACAAACTCAAATTACAGGTACCTAGGTAAAATTTAATGATTACTTTGCAAGTCAACTTTTCTTTTTGTTAACTGTGATCATTAATGCGTTCACATGCATGCAACGAATGAATGAGAAGGAAGTAGCACAGTATTATTATGACTACATGCATGCAAGTAGTAGTACGAGAAAATATCATTAAGTTTTGCCTCGGTTAGTGTTAGTGGCCTTGTATAAATGTAAAATGTATTTTTCATAGTGGCCTTATATAAGGGAATGGAGGGAGTACTAAAAATCTAGTACTAATGTGAACCCTAAATTAACACCTACTACTACTAAAAATCTAGTACTAACTAAGCAACATCTAGTACTAGCTATGAACCCTAAATTAACATCTACTACTACTAAATCTAGTACTAACTAGTGGTAGGGGGTGGGGGCGACGGAGAGGTAGCTAGGGGCGGCGAGGGCGGGATTGGGATCGGGAGGCGGCGGTGCTGGGTGGGCTCGGGTGGCGGCGGTGAGGTCGAGGGCGGTGGGAGGAGGGCTGCCGGCGATGGAGGGAGGAGGGGCGGCCGCAGGCGGAGGGAGGAGGGCGGCGGCGGAGGAGGGAGGAGGGGCCGCAGGCGGAGGGAGGATGTGCAAGGAGGAGGGAGGAGGGACAGAAGGAGGGGAATGCCTCGATGGCGGACGGACGAAGGCGGCGGCAGCGGCGACGCACGACGACGGTTATCGGCACGCGGGCGAGAGTGAGAGTGTGAGTGAGAGAGAGGGTCGGTCGTGCACGTAGGGATAAGGTAGGGATAGTTGTAGCGCGTTTGCCGAAACGCGCTACAGCTAATCTGAATAGCAGTAGCACTTTGCATATAAACCGCTACTGCTAAGTGTAACTATACAAAAATACGTCTATGCAAAAATACATTGGCCATCAATGATCTTTTTGTGTACAATCTGAATTGTCAATATGAGTCCTCTCCGCTAGGAACCGGAGAGGACTCATATTGCGGCCACAAATTTTACACATAGAGTTTAGTGAAGACCAACTGGTTGTGATAGTTTCAGAAATAACATATTTAAGGTGGTAAGCACCCTGTTCATGGAGCGAGGTGGGACTAAACTTGTGGGCTAATCTTAGCAGTAGCGGTTTTCTTCAAAGCGCGCTGCTGCTAACTTCCATAGCAGTAGCGCGGTCCATTATAGGTCGCTACTGCTATAACTAGC